CGAAATTTCAAAAATTTTCATCATAAAAAATTATCACTACCGAACCTCCTTAAACAAATTAGTTTCCAGCTCGTATGCTACATTTAAGCGGGAGACAAGGACGCACTGAGTACACTGTCTATCGTCAGCTTGACTTATTATGTGGCATATCTTTTTCACAAAATTACTTCTAGAAGCCGTTTTACTCAAAATTATTTAAATCTTAGTGTATGTCTTAATGAGACTTAATATTTTAATGCTATATCATTGAAATCTTTTATTTTGAAAATTCATAACACACTTTCACCAAGAGAAGATCAGGTTGACTATGCCGTTTACTTCTTTTTTTTTTAACTTTCATTCAAAGAGTATTTAGGCTATTTGATTAATACTATAACAAACTAGATACCTTGAAGAAATTCTGTGATTGTTAAAAAGTATATTATTGAAACATTAATGAGCACTGGCGAGGTGAATACAAATGCACTTTCCGTAATCGAGCGAGTGAACGTTAATGGGCTACGTTGGTACAGCAGCATATATGTGGTCCCCTTTACCTCCACGCAGGAGCGATCCAACTCCCTTAATCGTGCCAGTTTTTCTTTGTTATTCAACAAATAGTTCAATTCGACCGGATTTTTTATTGAATTTTTCTTATTACTTTGTTTGCGGCATCGCAATGCGAAAATATCGAACTTCAAAAACGGATTATGTTAAGAATATTAAGAATTTTGATTAAAAAAACCAGTAGACAGTGTGTGCTTGGGTACCCAAGTATTAAATTATACTTCTTTGAAATAATATGGCAAACAATATAATTTTGTGTATAACAATACCTTCTATGAAAGAATATTGTGTACGAAGGTTGTGCAACTATCGTGGGAATGAGTACACCTACGTTGATTGGGTGTAATTTTTACTCATATGTAATGAGTTAATGATTATAAACAATATATAACGGCACAATACAATAAAAATAATATATAGGCTGGCCAGTCCAAGACTGTGCACTTTCATCGTATCTTCCGGTGATTTTGGAACAGCATTCTACTGCCTACGCTGACTACATCTGTAACGTCACACTCACATTTATCACGTAGGATCCCACACTTATTTCTCGTCCATATTTAATACTCAAAATAAAATTGTATACAGAAAATTGAGAAAAATCATCCGGTGATATAGTTTTCTTCAATAGGGTAGTATTACATGCCAGTAAATGTCCCTTCAAGAAGTTCATCACACATGGGTTTTTTGGACATATATTATTCAAACGTCAAACGTACATTGAAATAGCATAAAAAATTCCCACGAACATTGCAGATGTTTGACTGTACCAGTATTTTATACATGATGCATAAAAAAATGAATATTTAACATACAACCACATGAAAAAATTACATCAAATATTATTTATATGATTTGTAAGAATCTCCTAATTTTTTGGGTACAAAAGATTACGTTGAGAAAAACCTATTGAATTTTCAAATAGACCCACAAGTAAAATTTTGAATGGATTTAGAAAGAGGGGATGTGGTGTGTATGAAAGCATGTATATGAATACATCCACATAAGAAAAAGAATTGCCAGCTTTGCTCTACACATTAGCGTTTCTGTCATTTTTCTGAACGTTCCCCTACAAACTATGTGAAGAACGTCCTTAAATCAAAGAACCACTCAAATCACGAATGAAAAATTTTTAAAAGAATAAAATACAACAAAAATTAATTATAATATTCGTACAGTCCAAAAAATTTTTTCATAATTTTTGAAAATTTTGGAATTATCTAGTCTTAATGTGTATTAAATCAAAGCATGTTTGAGCTACAACTAGCAATACGTTAAGGATGGTAGTATTTCGAATTTAAGGGTTGATAAGACTTTTATATTATTTGCATATGTATTATGCCTACAAAAAAAAAAAAAAAAAAAGAAAAAATCATTTTATTAAGTAAATTATTTATTTATTCAATTTATAACTAAACAAAATAAATTAACGTATATAAAATAGAAGTTTCTGTGAAAAGTACGATACAAACTGTAAGATAACAAAAAGTAATTGATTTTCCTATGTTGGGCCTGCTCATAGTAGAGTAGGTAAGGGTCGTGGCCAGAAAGTAAGAGGTCGGAGGTTAGAATCTCTTTGGAAACTGTTGCTTGAAAGAAAAAGAAATAAAATTCATAAAATTAAAAATGTGTGGAATGGTAACGTGGTGTGGAATTATGTAGTGTAGAGGAAACCGGAAGTACGTCGTGAAGTGGGAGAATCAAGCAAAATCTACTTCCGTCACACTTTTTCTCAAGGTCAAAATCTGAAATCGTTGATTTACCCCCGCGCATAACGCACCTGTAGAAGTATAACTTAAAAAAAATTTTGTTCTTTGGGCTTTATTTTTTCTTATATCAAATTCAATTTTGCAATACCGACGGTTGGGTAAAATAAGAGCCAACTCAGATAATTGGTGAAAAAGGAGCCAACTCGAAATTTGGGTTTAAAAGCAGTTAACTCAGATTTGGCTTGAAAAAGGAGCCAACTCAGGTTCGGGTTAAAGAAGCAGCCAACTTGAAAGTTATTTTTTTAAAATCAAGTTTTGTAGTGGTGGCACTGACATTAACAACATAAGTACACTGATATGAACGAAACTAAAATTTTTTGATAATACAATATTTCAGAAAAATAATTCATGATATTGTAGTAGAGCGTACTATACTTATTAAATTATGTGCTTTACAAGTCTGCTACGATCAGACGTTATTTTATGATCAGACTGTGAACGTAATTCATTTTGAATGTTATGTAAAACATTTTAAGATAATTTTGTTTTTGTTTTGAAACTTCGTCTTGAAAAAACACCTTATTTCAACAACAAAGTATTTGTTAATTTCTTCCTCATTATAAAATTCATGAATTCTAAGTCAACGCGGCGTATTATTTCATATTTTTTTTAAAACTGATATTTATGTACAAGAGTGATGAGATATCATATGCAACAATTTCATATTTTTTAAAGTATATTTATGTATATGCTCGTTCCCATGGAACATTTTAGTCATATTTATTTAACATTTTTTCTTCCTCCTATGTATGATCACAGCAGAATAGTAAAGAACACAAATAAATAAATATAGTTCGCTCGACTACAATCCCATAAATAATTTTTCTAAAACATTAGATTATTGAAAAAATCTTTGTTCGTTTATGTAGGTATACCTTTATTGTGAATGTTAGTGCTACCACGACAAAACTTGATGAAAAAAAATTACTCTCGAGTTGACTGCTTTTTCAACCCTAACCTGAATTGGCTCCTTTTATAAGCCAAATTTGAGTTGACTGCTTTTTCAACCCAAATTTCGAGTTGGCTCCTTTTTCACCGATTATTTGAGTTGGCTATGTCTTTTACCCAACCGTCGATATGAACAAATCAATATAACTTTAACGTTTTACAGTTCACGATGTCGCAACCATAGTTACTCGATAGAGTGTGTATTGGCGCGAGTTAAAAAAAAAATATTTGTGGTGTAACGATGTTTGCAACTAAAGTTATTAACAGTTTTTTAAATTTTTAAAATTTTTAATGTTGCTTCAGCTTAAACAAATTTGTTTTTTACTTCTTTAGAGTATATCCCGTTATTTTGCACTAGTATATAATTTTTTCATGCATTCACAATAAAAAAACATGAATGTAATTATTCATTTTGACGCGCTATACCGTTTTTTGAACGATGGGTTGAATACATTATAGACAGATGAGGCAAAAAATAATTGCCTTCCGCCAATCTCACACAAGTTGAGAAACCTTATACTTCACTAAAACCTCAAGTATTTTCGCGATATAGTCTCGCTATGACGAGTTATATCGGTACAAAAAAATTGCTTATGGCACAATTTAAATATCTGCCGCTACTGAGCTTAATGGATAGAATATTAAAAGTTGTTATGAAAAAGTGACATTGGCAGCTAATAATCGACTACCCGGAAAATGTCTTTGCATGCAACGCACCGTTCAGAGAAGGGTCTATCACGTCAAACTGTTTAAGTAATATTTTTTTTATTGTTGTTAATGTATGCAAAAATGAATATCTTATACAAATAAATAAGAAAACCCTGAAGAACAATTTTTTTTAGGTTAAAACAACATTCAATTTTAAACAATCGTTATAAAACTTAACTGCTAACTTTTGGTAAAATAACTTCATCACAAAATTCTTTTTGTTTCATTCGTTTTAAATTACAATTCACAAAGTAAACATGGTTTCAACACGGTTAATTATAAAACATCAATGTTATATCGATTTCTTTGTGCTGCAAAATTGAAGTTTATGAATAATTCGAGTCAAAATTAAAAAAAAATCATTTCTTGTAATATTAAAGTATTTAGTTTTCTTAACAAAATCCATTTTAAAAACTTCATCTAGCCATACTGCGAGGTTTAGGACAGCCAAATCAACTTTCAAATGAACAATCGTTTTGTGACGCCATTTGTCATGCCAGACAGAAATCGTTGAGCGTTAAGATTTCTGTAAGAGGTATTAAGTTCCAAAATTGAAAGAATTTTCATTAAAACACGTTCAAGTTAATACTGTTGTAAAGTTGGCACTTGAAATAGCGATTTTTACTTTTTAATTCTGTAACTTCGCGAAAAATAGGTTTAAATAATCTAACCGGAGCCGATCGGTAGATTATTATATCACGAAAAAAAATTATCTCTTGTTGTTGTTTTCGAATTCAATGACCCAAAAAATTATTACAAGCGAAATTTGAAGAAAAATTCGGTCGAATTTTACTATTAGTTTTATAACAAATCCGGCACGATTATGCGTTCAAACTATTTTTCTATGTATTCTAATAATACGAAGTATTTCAAACAATTTTCGTTATAGTTGAAAAAAATTTTTTTCTCACATGCCTAATCTTCCTGTCAAAATCGTCAAGTTATTATTATATTTGCCTTTAAATGTTTGTGGAAATCAAGATTCTTAATAAATTACAACTAATTTTATAAATAAAAACTAAACATCAGTATTGTTGAAATGCATTTATTTATTTGGAAAAGACATAATAATTCTCATAAATGTCTGATTATTTAAGTGTGATTGGAGCTGATTGATTTGAAGATTTAGAATCACGTATAGATGCTGTACGTCTTCTTTTTAATTCTTCTTGTCGCTTAGCCTTAGCTTCTTTTTGTCTTTGAGCTGACAATTTTGCGTATTCTGCAGCTTGTTCCTTGCGAGCTACTGAACGTCGTTTCTTTAGAGCAACTCGATGTCTCTTGCGCTGTAATAATGCATAAAAACTTATATGAATAAAAAGGCGTCACATTGAATTATCTAGTCTTAATGTGTATTAAATCAAAGCATGTTTGAGCTACAACTAGCAATACGTTAAGGATGGTAGTATTTCGAATTTAAGGGTTGATAAGACTTTTATATTATTTGCATATGTATTATATCATTACTGAAATCTTAATTAAATAACAGGCAAAATAAAGCTTTAGTTACATTGTTTAATAGACGATATCTACTATTTAATGCTATGCTACGTAATGTAAAAACCTACAAGTGAATCTTTCGCGTGCCTTAGGTCAACTACACATTATATCTAGTGTTTATAAAAATAGTCTCCGACAAGGTAAACGTACCAATAATTGACCACTATAGTAAGTATATACAAACTATTTTTATTTCGTTAAAAAAATTAATATTAAAAAATTTTTTTTTGGAAATAATTTAAGAATTAAATTACCTGTTTAAAAGATTGGCTAGCCATTTCATTGTTAAAAAAGAGTAAATACGTGTGTGTAAATAAGTCGAATATCCCAGTACATGGTTAAGAAAAATGTAATATGTATCGGTAGTCAGAATTTCAAGTCTCAATACTCTATTTTAGGTTACGAAGTATTATAGATTTACTTTTTAAAGTTATCAACAACAGTTTTCTATAAAAATTGTAAATGGCTATCCATATATGTTCAAAAAAATATATGGCACACTGTTTAAAAATTAAAAAATCCTTAAAAAATGAAGTAAGTCACAACTGAGAAATTCGACCTTTTTAAATTTTGTAAAATTAAGCTTAATGATTTTTCTAAAAAAAAAAACCATAAAAAAGATTGGAAATTATGATCCTAACTCATAAATTTTGGGAGAATCGTAATTGAGATACTTGGATCAATAATAAAAAATATCATCTTTCTGGTGAAATTCTGTTAGGAAATAACCAATTCTTCCTTTACTAAAAAATATAAGATAACAAATCTTTCGGGCACTGGACTAACTGTAAGAGGGGGAAATAACTTCGCATCTGTGGGCAAATAGTAGTTTTCCTACGAGTTTGAAAAGTCTCTGTTTGCGAGCCGAGAGGTTTGCGGCCCGAGCCGAAGGCGAGGGACGTAACGAGGTTCGTAAAGGAGACTTTTCGAACGAGTTCCGGAAAACTGCTTTTTCGCCCGAGGAAGTACCAGCCTCCCAAAACCATCCGAGGGCGGAAAAATATTTTTCCTGAGTTTTTTTGTATTAGCTTTTGTAAAATGATCCCCTGAACTCGAATTTGCATGTTGCCAGGCTTAAAAGTTGGTCCCAAATTGTTAAACAATTTTTTTTAAACAAATTTNTAACTTATGCAAAATGATCCCCTGAAATCGAATTTGCACGTTGCCAGGTCCAAAAGTTAGTCCAAAACTGTTTAAACAATTTTCGTTTCAACAAATTTTGCAAATTGTTTATATTGACTCGAAAAAATTTTTTTTACTATCTTTGGACTATAAACAAGGTATCCGTTAGCTTTTCTCTAAAATTAACATTTTCCGAAATAATTGTCATTAAAGTTTTAAATAGTGTAGAAAAAAATGCCTAGCAACTTTCAATACTTTCCGAGATATTAATTGTTACAGTTCGAAAAAATGCAAAAATGGTCATTTTTCTCGATGAAAAACCAACAATTTTCCTGTTGCTTTAATACTCTATAAACATCTTTGAACATTTCAAAAGCTTTTTTGACTATTATTTTATTGTAACCCTTTGTTGTTCAACTTTGTTTTGAGCTCTCTGACGCTATAAAAAAAGTATATCTATACATGAAGGACCGCGCCTCTCGTTCATTGTATATAGATATACTTTTTCATAGAGTTAGAGAGCTTAAAACAGAGTTAAAAAACAAGGAGTTACAATAAAATTGTAGTCTTAAAGCTTTCGGAATATGTTCAAGGATGTTAATAGAGAATTTAAGAACTTAAGCAACATGAAATATGTATGTTTTTCATGTCGTTTTTTATGGATGAAAATAGCCACTTTCGCATTTTTATCAACTTCAGTATTTAATATCTCATAGAGTATTAAATTTAGAGAAAAGTTGCGAGACTTTTTTTGGTGATAGTTCAAAGATGGTAAAAAAAATTTTTTTGTGTTAAAATAAACAATTTACAAAATTTGTTTAAAAAAAATTATTTTAACAATTTTTGACTAACTTTTAAGCCTGGCAACACGCACATTCGAGTTCAGGGGATCATTTTGCATAAGTTAATGCAAAAAAACTGAGCATAAATACTTTCGCCGACGGATGCGAAGTTATTTCTCCCTCTACGTAAAAATAAACGAGCAAGTCCTGCAGACGAGCCTGGGTAATAGTCATCATGATTGGAATCCAACTAGTAATAAGGTCAACAATTTACAGTGTCTACTGGGAAAGAGATTAATACTTCTGTTTTGAAACCAATAAAATAAAAATTTTTCGTGTTGTCTAACGATTAAATAATAGCTTTTTTATATGACATAATTTGTGTATTGTGATTTTCTTGAATAAATCGCAACTTATTAATTAAATTTTTGTGTCCACTCATTTCCAATTAACCTTTCATTTAAGATAATTGCGAGTTGCTTAGAATTATATTTTTTAGAAAATTTCAAATTGACTATAAAAAGTTTTGTCGATATTTGTTGTATTTAAAAAAAACAGTTATACAAATAAAAGTGATTATGACAAGATACTTGTTCTAGCCACTCATCAAAAACTTGAGTTAAAGAGGTTACATCAAACGTAGAATATTTAGCTTGTAAAAAGACCTACAAAATGCCACCCGAATTTTTAAAATCGGTTAATTTTTTTATCCGCAAAGTTGAAAATATCCTTAAAATAATTTATTTGGAAAATTGTTAATAACTAATATTCCTTACATCCATACGGTACCAAAACAAGGGAAAAGTGTGTGTCCTAATAATGTTAAAAAATGCTTTGAATTTCAATTTGATCGCTTACATAGTTTTTAAATACGTCAATTGTGTATTAAAATAGTCTCTTTGTTAATATGCTGTCATTTTTTTTGTAGGCATCTTAGAATGAAAATTTGAAAGGGATTCTCTTCTTTGAGAGTAATAGTATCCAGTTTATTTCGTACTTTAACGATTTTTGAAAAATGAATTGTTTAAAAATACGTTCGAAAAACATATACGTCAAAAAATTATGAGTAAATGAATCAACTTTCTTATTTTTTATGGTACAGCTTCACGAGTAGGTTTAATTTTAAAATTCATGTTCTCTATAAATTATTTTTAAAAAAAATGGTTTCAAGTCACTTGGGAACCGAGATAATTTTTTTTTTATTGACCGCCGTTTTTATCAAAAAACAATATTTCTAGCTTCAACTTTCACAGTTGATTAATAATCAATTTATCTAATAGATGTGCGGATTGTGACGCTTACTTCTCATACCGTTGTTTAGTACGGACTTTGAAAATCACAATGTTTTTTCGTTTAAGTCTATTATAGACGTGTTATGATGTAACCATCCATACTCGACTGCTTGTTAGTTTCGGTTTTTGGCTGTTGACGTCTCTACTAATCGATTTATTAGTGAGTGAGACGGAGCAACGACGAATAACTTTGGTTGCGTGGAGGGATAAATAAAACAAAAAAGTCAGAAAGTATAATGAACTGACTGTTACAATTTATTGGTAACTTAAACAATTATGTACTCTCCTTTCTCTCGAACCGGTTGAAAATAACAAAATAACGTGATTGGCCGCTCGCCTTCTTAATTCGTACTCACAATAAATAGGGTTAAAATACCTGTTTCGAATTAGCATTCTGTTTTCTTTCTCGCCTATTAAAACTATGTACATATAACAATGTGATTTGCTTTAATGTGCTGGCACGCGGCTCTTGTGCTTCTCGTCGCGGCCGACGGCTTGTCTCGGGCGACGATCAACAGCGTCGAACGATAGGAGGCAACAACTTCACAACAAAGAGTTCTTTGGCCGGTGTCGAACTAATCAAGATGCAGTCCGACCTTGAAGAAAAAAGCCTGTCCCGCCAAGACGAAAATGATGCTCCAACGAGCACTGTTTAGTCGAAGCGCCAAGAGCAGCCAGGTCGCACATCTGCTCGCTTCACTGGCCCATACCGAACTTGATACCATACACTTATTAGATTAAGCGACAGCCATACGCACATATACATTCATCCTCACCTCTCTCCGTAACACAACATGGACGCAACTAATCGAGATAAACATGCACACGCATGTTAACACTGGATCTTCAATTCGCAACGAAAAAAAAAAAAAAAAAACTTTTTCAGGATCTATTCGTACAAGAATGACTTTTATTTGGAGTAGCTCGCGAAAAGAATGAGATTGTACATCTTTTTGTCTGTTACAAAATTAATCCAAGTCTCTCATATAGCAATAAATAGTTATTTCAACACAATTTTGTTTTTTTTTAATTGGAATACAACTCCCGTTATTATTAACAACTACAAACCTGTATGATAAAGGCATACATATAAATGTATAATCAGTAGATTGTATACATACACACCAAATGTATACTGTATAAACAAACTATGTGCGCTCCCTACGCTCACCCCCCATTTTGAGATTAAAAACGATTAGTGTTATTAACAAGCTTCTCAATATCTTTATTTTACAATATTTTATCAAAAAGAAATAAGTAATGTTATGAAAAATATTAATACGTTGAATTGTAATATAACCAACATAATTTTAGGATGTTAAACATGATAATTTTTTTAGTTTTGGCAATACTTTCGACAAATTAATTATTCGCTATAAGCTGCAATGTTTTTGGAATCGACATAACTCGTCACCGTTGAACGGCAAAAATACTTTGGATCTCCACGAATCATGAGTTTACTTAATACACGTGAGATTTACGGTTGGTTCCAAAAAATTGCCTCCCTGAATCTTACACTGAGAAAAAAAAGCAGTGAGCGTAACTATTGTTATTCCGTAACAGCTACTACACGACTTTTCTGGCAGTTTT